AAGATCCCATTAATAGTAGTGAAACGATAAAAATACAGGCGAAAACGGACGTCATATGAAGAAGTTATGAATTTATAACGGAGTTTTCCTATCCCGGCCTACTAAAAATAAATAATAAAAATAAATTCAAAATTAGACAATGGAGTCTAAATGAAAGTTGTAGAGTATAGTCCCACCTATGTGTGGATATAAAAAAACGTTGAAAATGGATTTCGTATGAGGAAGATATGAATTTTTGAAGTTTATTAAATAATTAAAATATTAAATTTAATTATAAATTCCGATATTATCCAAAGGGGGGGGGGGGGGAGGGGGGTCAACGACCTTATCCGGGTTACACCCAGCGTAAATCGAGGATCCAACCCTCTATAAATTGAAATCAAGGCTGCCGAGTTTCAATTGCTATTTTCTTTCCTTCTCTCGCATTTTTACCTCGTTTTGCGTGCAAGAATATCCCGAAGCCCCGGTATCATTCCCGAGACCCGAAGCAAGTCCCGAAGCCCCGAAGATCCCAAGAAGTAAAATTCCTGAGCCAAAGCTCTACCCGCGAGGAGCCCGGTTTTTGTGAAGATCTTCCAGATCCGTCGAAGAATACTACTTCTACAAGCCGTAGTATTGTCCGATCATCTTCTGATGAAGTGAGTGTGTAGTCACTTTCTTGTAACGCATAATTATGAAGTATTCTATATGAAATACGTGTTATGTGTATATTTCTTGTTATATGTTTGAATGTATATTAACTTTCTTCTATCTCATAGATATGATTTATTTTCTATGAAATACGTGTTATGTGTATGTGTCTCATCTGTTGTTTGGAATATATATTGAATGAGAATGTTATACAGGTTTTAAACTATGTATAAAATTATATATTTTTATCTACTAATATGTTGGGTAGAACATAGGTAGATAGTTGATGTGTGATAAACAGATGAGAGGCATCGATGTTGTTTTTAATCAGTCATCTAGCGGAGTTTAAATGATGACCATAGACTTTTCTAGACAGTCCTGTGGAACGTTTGCAGGCTCGCCACAAGTAGGTGTTAATGAACTTGGGTGTTCATTCATTGTACTCCATCCCCTTCATGGTTGCCTTATTTGACATATATTGTTGGGAAACCCCTGAATGCATGTGTTGTCGCCCTGATGAAATATTCTAAGACTAGGTCCCTTGTGTTAGTTGTCTTAGGGACGTAAAGTGAGAATAACGAGAATGGGTAATTGGGTTATTGTTGGTTGGTGGAATTAAATATAATTATTTATTGTGGGTTGAAAAACTTATATGCTCACCAGACTCCCAAGCCTGACCCACTCAGTTTCTTTGTATTACAGGTAATGGCGCCAGAACATAAGTTGGATGATTTGTCAGGATATTTTGGATTATAGACCTGTTGTTGTAAATAACTTTTGTAAGGTCTGTATTGAAATGTTTATGCTTTTGGTTTGTTTATCGGAACATGACATCCCAAGTATTGTAATGTAATGAAAAATACATTTCTCTAAGAAATGCTTTGTTAAATCTAATTTTCATCATATTTCGTTTTGGGAACAAATTCCGCAACTGTTTTAAATCAAAAGATTAGTCTGAAATTATTTTAAAAGCATAAACTAAACCGGTCTTTTCTGGCCGTGATTTTGGGGATGTCACACTTAGTAACCTAGTTAGGTTAGTATCCTGATATATAGGATGATGTTATGTTAGTGATATGTTAGGTCTGTATCCCGGTTATGGGATGTTGCTATGATTAGTGATCTGTTAGATCGGTTTCACTATTATATATTTGAGCTAGCTTATGATATTTATGTGCACATGTTTGTTTGATTGGGGGTTAGGTTGAGGTGGTCATGCTTTGTGCTATAGGCTAACATACCCGGGGAAGTCCGGATAAGCTGTAGGCCCTACGAGGCGGTTCAGTCATGTCAAAGGCCTAACGAGCGGACTAGATAGGCTGTAGGCCTTGCGAGGTGGTCCAATCATGTTGAAGGCTCGGGAGCGGTCTAGATAGGTTGTAGGCCTTGCGAGACGGTCCAATCAGGATGAAGGCTCATTATGCATGTTGTTATGTATTTATTATATGATATGGTTATATTTGTATGGCGTTGGTATTTTGGGGAAACTTACTAAGCTTCGGGCTTAAAGTTGTTGATTTTGTTTCAGGTACTTCTGATGATCGCGAGAAGGCTAAGGCATTATCATGCACCTCCTCATATTTTCAAGATTGATTCTGGGGATACTCTGATACTTAAACTATTTTGAAAAACAAATTTTAATTACTTAATGGATTGTAAATGTTTTAAAAAGTTTTAAATTTGCTTGAATTTTTATGGATGTTACATAATAACTTGAAATCCGATTGCTCTACACACTTAGATAGCCTGACAAAATAGCCAATTAGATCACATTTAGATGATTAAACTGAGATCATATGAAAAAAAAACTTGCATTGTTTATTGTGAAATTAAAGTAATAGTTGAAGATGTGACTTTAAATGATAAAGGGTAATGCCTTTTACACTCACTGTCCTCATGACTGTCTTTGGAGTTGCTTCTAAAATACGCATAAGAAACATGGTTATTTTGGATCGAATAGGCCATCTATTGTGAGGAATTATTGACTTTGTGTAATTTTCAACCAAGTATATTTATTTTACTTCAAAATTCACATTCAACTATATTGATACTCGCATGCATCAAAACAAATGATATCAAAAAACATTGACCACATACATAATAAAGTTCTAACCAAGTTCCAAATTGCATTTAGTATACATCACTAGTTAGCAACAAACCAACAACTAATTGGATTATCATAAGTTATTTAACACAATAAACTCATTAAATGTCTAAATACAGTATAATAAGATTCAAATACGAGAATATTTTTTTCTTCACGGAATGACAAATTGTAAAAGCTTCGACTCGGTAATCAATTTGAACAAGCGAGAATATGCTACATAAACACATCTGAGAGAAACAGGAAGTGAAATTGACAAAATGATGATGATGCTTACAAAGTAAATTGAGGAAGGAGATTTAGATACGTTGTCAACGTTCTAAATCGAGCGTAGTAGTGAGAAAATAGTGAAGAAGTAGATATAGACCGAGCAATCAATTGAATAAAGGAAATATGAAGTGTGTAACGTGCATAATTGTTACCTTTAGTTTCTACTTTTCATCGATGGAGAGAGTTAAATTGAAGAAGGAGCGATGGATTAATTCCAAATTTAGACGAAATTGTGGAAGTACGTTGGCAGTAGACTCAAGCTCGATTAGTAACAAGAGTTTGATTAAGGAAAGTCGACTAACTTCAAGTCTAGACGACATATATCTCAGGAATGAATTCCACCGACACATCGAACAAAGTTTTGTTTTGTTCAACTCGTCGTACAGATTTGATCGAAAACAGGGGATATCGATAGAGACGAAAGAGAGACGATGAGGAAGGCGATCAACCGATAGGGTGACGAATACCAGAGGTGACCATGGATTTCATATGGTGGCGTTTGATGAATCAGCTATGAAGTTATGGTGGTCATAGGAGTGCAAATCGTGAGAGAGAGAGAGAGAGGGAGAAAGAAAGAGAGAGAGAGAGAGAGAGAGAGAGAGAGAGAGAGAGAGAGAACGAGATATGTTTCAGTTGAGATCTGTTATTTATGATATTATTAAATTAAATTTTTGTTTCCTTTAATACCCTTGTATTTTTAAGTTAAGATACCTCCGCCTCTATAAGTTTTTATTTATTTACAAAAATACCACAAATGATCTTGGTCATTCGTTTTTTATCTAACGTTTCACCTTTAGTTTTCGGGTTTTTGGAAAATTATGAGTTATTAAATGATCATTCCTTTCTTTCTCTCTCTCTCTCTCTCTCTCTCTATATATATATATATATATATATATATATATATATATATATATATATATATATATATATATATATATATATATATATATATATATATATATATATATATATATGACATCTCATATCAAAATAATATTTCTTTCATATTTTATTGACCATCATTAAGGCATGAGAAGAACCTAATTGGGTGGTGTTATGGCCCCACAAATTCTGCTTTTATTTAGATTGGTGCAAACGCTAATCATACCTAAAAAAAAACACACCGATTCTTTTTAGGTTTCGATTGTTTAATAATAGTTTAGCAATACAAAATGAATATTTTCTCGCATAATCAAAGGAACGAACAATAATCATTGAGATCAGCATGGTCTTTGAAAATTCATTTGAAAAGTATTGAATGATTGCATAATTGTTAGAGATGCCATTATTTTATTAATTTATTTTAAAATATATTGGTTAAGTAATTAAGTTACTTGAGTTGAATTTATAAACAAATATATAAAACAAGACCATATTATTCGTCATGTTTTTTTTTTTTATCGGGATATTGTTATAAAAGCTCTTAAGCGTGTTTGTTTTTTACGGCGTTTCCCAAACCAACATTTGTCAAGGTTTTTTTATCGGGATATTTTTTTATCATGTTTTGCACTTACCCAAGCCATGTGGCTCACCATGAGAATTTTGCCGACAATATTACCCCTAAGCTGGATCAATTTCAGTTTATAACTTGTTGAACTTCAATCAATAACGTGTAAACACCGGAAGACTAAACACATCTTTAAAAAATGAGTGGACAAAGAGTCGAAAACTTACCACTTCAAAATATACTTATACCTTTAAAAGATATTTTGTATATTTAAAAATATATTAAATATGTATTTATATATTTAAATACATATAAAAAATTACAGGAATGGTCCCTATGGTTTGGAATAATTTGAGTTATTGGTTCATAAATTATTTTTTTATCTCAGACAATCCCTACAATTTGTTTTGTTTCGTCATTGGTCCCTGGCCGACCTTAAATGATGTTTTTGCCCTTATCTTTTTTTTTTTAAAGTTTTTAATGGTTATTTGTTTATTATTATAATATAAAGAAATATATAAAAGAAAAAAAAAACTAGGTCATAAATACTTATGTTATCGATGCTCCCGGTTTTCTACCATGCCCACCTCCGGCTATCTCTCCCACATCTCTCGGTTCTCCCTTCAACTCATCGGCCATCTCCATCTGTGTAAAGATGCCAAATAAAACTCTATCCTCTAAAACCCCTTTTACCTCCGGTGTAGCTACATCACCTATGGCAAAAAGTATAGGCATCTCGCTGGAAAATCGATCATTTGATGGCCCTACCTGTTCTGAGCAAAACCTGCCTAAATGAGGTTTTCAAGTGTTGTAGCCAAATTTAGATTCCAAAAGATGTAGTGTTGTAGCAAAACCTGCCTAAATGAGGTTTTCATTGTTGGGGTGTCACATTTTTCATTTGGGTTAGTGCTTCTAATTTTGGGTCTCGCCTTGAGACATAAATAAACTTTATTTGTGTTTTTATGGCGTCCTCTCTTTCCTTTGAGAGCAGGAGTTGGCCGTGTCCTTTTCGGAGGTTTCACTGTTGCCCAAATGGTAATGTTGGAAGTAAAGGGATTTCGCGTATGATATCTCATCTCAAGAGCTTACACCTCCATACAGATGAACACATAGCTATGTTACGGGAGGCTATTACTTCTGACCATGGATTGTTTATGGCGGTGGCAGCAACTTTGAAGGAGTTTGGGTAATGGATATGAGGGAATTGCATGAAACTTCATGCCCTGAGTCTTTCATGTCACCACCCGGGTAGCCTGATTAAGTTTAATGATGGGGCTAATGACATGAGCGGGCATATTATTGGCATTCCAAAGCCGACTCCCAATGAACTGGAAGCTGACCTCAATGGTGGGTTGGGTGATAGATGCTCAACTACTTGATCATGTTTTTAAACTACCTATCACCACCGTCAAAAGCATCCCTCATAGTTGTTGCATGGCTTACTCAGGCTTTTAAAGCATCCCTTTCCAAGGTGGTTGTTCATCCTGGGTCCGTTGAAGCGTGGGTTGCTTTGTTAATTCTACCTAGGTGTACTCTTCAGGTGTTCAATAGGCAAGAAAGAAAATCTGGCAACAGGAAGCCTTTGCAACATCGTAATATTTTGAGCACTTTAGTCACTTGGGGGACTGAAGACGGTATCACCAAGCTAGTTAAAACTTAGTTGGCAATGCAAGACTAGAGCAACAAGGCAAAAAAGAAGAGTACATTCAGGATGGAAGAACACCGGACAACACCAATGTTAGACAATGTCTTCGTAAGGTTACTGATGGACATTTTACAGCAGCAGTGAAAGTTTTATGGTCTTCGGGAGTTGCTCCATTTGGGGGTGATACCACGAAGGCATTGGAGGATAAGCATCCATACAAGCCACCACCTTTCATGCCCAACACCATATTTTCAGAACCTCCCCTTGTAGTGGATGTTGACAATGTCCTTAGGGGGGAATTAAATCCTTCCTTAAAGGTACCTCGTGTGGGAGAGACGGGTTGAGAGCTCAACATATTTTGGATGCCCTTTATGGTGAAGGTTCGACTATAGCCAACGACCTCCTGCATGCTATTACATATGTGGTTAATCTATGGATCGGGGAGATGCCCTTCGAGTTTAGTAGAATTTGTTGCCTCTGCTCCTCGCACACCACTTTTAAAACCTGATAAGGGAATACGACTTATTGTTGTAGGTGCTATATGGAGACGTTTGGTTTCCAAGTTGGCTATGAAAGGTGTTTGTAAGGAAATGAACAAGTATATCAATGATTTTCAGTTCGGGGTCGAGGTGTCGGGTGGTGTTTGGGCCATATTACATAGCACCAATAGGGTGTTGAGCGAGCACCATGATGACAAGTTTCTCTCCAGGCTTACTGTGGATTTCTCTAGTGCCTTTAACCATGTCGACAAATCTGCATTACTTCATGAGGTTAGATTGAGGTGTCCTTTTATATCCTTGTGGGTAGAATTTCTCTATGGTCAAGCAACAAGGTTGTATCTAGCTAACACATATATTTGGTCCACTACTAGGGTTCAAGAAGGAGACCCCTTGGGACCACTTCTCTTTGCCCTTGTGTTACACCTGCTCTTGCATAATATTAGCAACAATTGCAAGCTTCTTCTCCATGCATGGTACCTTGATGATGGCACACTTATTGGAGATTCGGAGGAGGTGGCCAAAGCGTTGGACATCATTATGGTGATTGGCCCAAAATTGGGCCTTCAACTTAATATCAAGAAAACCGAGCTCTTTTGGCCCTCATGCGACAGTAGGAAGCTACGTAAGGGGCTATTCCCGTCTAACATTGCGAGGCCGCATTTGGGGGTGAAACTTCTTGGGGGAGCTGTTAGTAGAGATGCTAGTTTCATTAGCAACTTAGCCATAAGGAGAGCCGAAAACGCTGTGAATTTGATGTGCCTTCTTCCTCAATTGTTTGACCCCCAGAGTGAGCTCCTTCTACTTCAGTCTTGTATGGGTATTGCTAAGCTTTTCTTTGGGCTGAGGACGTGTCAACCCATTCACATGGAGGCGGCGGCAATATTCTTTGACAATGGGTTGCGTGGGGCCATTGAGGACATTGTGGTTTGTGGTGGCCCTTTCTTTGGTGACATACAATGACGCATTGCTTCCTTACCCATCAGGTTTGGTGGTTTGGGTTTATACTCGGCAGTAGAGGCTACTTCATATGCTTTTGTTTCCTCAAGGGCCTAAACTTGGGTATTGCAAGACCACATCTTACGGGATAGTGACATATATGGTATGGATTCTGATTATGATGGTGCCTTGGCTTCTCTTTGTAACAAGCTTCTAGATTCTGACCTTAGCAATTTTACTACTAAAGACCCCCCCCCCTAAATCCCAGAGTACGCTAGCGAGTGCCCTTTTTCGTAAAATCGTCCAAGATATGGAAGTTAATCTCGACATGACGGCCCGTCAGAAAGCGGTTTTCCAGTGCTTACGTGCACCGCATGCCCAAGATTTTCTTCTTGCTATCCTATAGATGGGAGTGGCCAACATATGTCTACTGTGGAGTATAGTACTATTTTCAAATATCGACTCATGATTCCAATATTCTCAGATGATGAGATATGTTCGGTGTGTCGCAAGCCATGTTTGGACTCCTTTGGAGAGCATGCAGTTCACTGTAAAGAACTCTCGGGGTTTCAAATACAGGCATGATATGGTTAGGGATGGTTTGTTTGATATATTTAAGTGTACCGGAGTTTCCGCTAAGAAAGTGGCACCTGTGAATTTCTTGATTGACCCGACAGAAGGAAGGTCAGCCCTTAGACCGGCTGACATTTTGATTTTTCGATGGGTCGGGGGGAAACATGCATGTATGGACCTTACAGGGGTATCCCCTCTTGTGGGCTTGAGGGAGGGGGGTTTCACTGCACGACTGGCTGCTTTAAAAGCTACTACAGGCATAGTCACCAAACATGAGAAATCGTGCATGGAAAATCAACACGTGTTCATACCATTTGCATTTGATACGTTTGGTTTCCTCGCACCGGATGTGGTAGAGCTTCTTAATAGAGTACAACGGATCATGCATTGCAATGGTATATCCCCTAGTTCTATGAATGTAGTCTTTAAAAGATTGAACTTTTCTATACAAAAGGCTTAGCGACGCAGCTTGTTGCCCGTTTACCATCTCACTTGTTGTACGATGATAATTAAATTACTCCAAAAGAATTGCTTACCACTTTTTCCGATCAAAACATTCATGCCGTCAAGCACTACGTTGACAATCGCAATTGAACCCAGAAATCCACCATCGGATGTCGCATAAACCATTTCAAATACACCAGAGATGTTGTCCGGTGATTGTGTTAAGGGGAAAGATGGTGATTGCAAAAGGCTAGAATCCAAGAAAAGCTTGACAAGGAAGACCTAGACGGCAAGGTGTCACAGAGGAGATTAAAAAAAAAAAGGAGATTTTGATTTCTAGTAGTGCCGATTCAAAAGTTCATTGAGTTTTCTTAAATGGGGATTTTCTGATCTGTAGTGTTAATTCAAAAGCTTTGTTAATATCAGGTTTCATCTGAACTTTTGGTTCAAGTATTCCTTCCTATTCTTAGCCTTAGTTTTATATTAAAGGATTTGAAGTTAGATTGGATTTCATTGCAGTTTTAGCGTATTGATTTATTTATCTGATTTTGATGGATCGAAGAAATCCTTTTTTTTGTGGCTTAGGTGTTGTTTGTTTTTTAGAAGAGAAAACGTGTGAAGTCTGCGAACCACCTCTGCAATCCTCTGTAGCAGAAGACCTGGAACAAACGGCTACAGCATTTAATAAAAAAATATGTTTGTTTTTTAACGTCTGCAGACTGCTACAGTAAGTTAAACTAAGGCGTGAAGAGGTTTGAAGCAGTTGGTTTAGTGTTGCCTTGCAGCACACATGCAACAGTTTTTAAGTCAGAAGTCTTCTGAAAAACAAACAAATACGAAGGGTCAAATGTTGCGCGTGTACTGCGCGGCGCAACAATAAGTGGTCTGAAGTGGTTTTTTTTTTTAAAAAAACAAACAACACCTTAATGTCTTGAATTGCTATGGGAAGATGACGAGTGATAAGTTGTAGGGTGCATGAAAGACATAACGGCAGGAGGGTAGGAAGTCTTGTCGGAGAAGGAGATAAGGGCAGGGAAGGTGGGAATTCTTGCCAAACAACGGTGAGAGTGGGAAGATGATGATGGACCCATCTATTAAACAATTTCTTTTACAATTTCATTTAATACATTGTTAAGAAACAAAACAATTAAAATGATATATAAGGGTATATTGGTCATTTTAAGTTAGTTAGGGACCAACAACGCAACAAAATCAAACTATATGGATGGTCTGAGTTAAAAAAAATAAATAATGGATCAAACGTGGAAATTACCCTAAACCACAAGGGACATCCGTGTAATTTACTAAAAAATTAAATGTTAAAAAATACACTTTTCTACCATATATATATATATATATATATATATATATATATATATATATATATATATATATATATATATATATATATATATATATATATATATATATATATAGAAGTAAGTTCATGCGAAAATATAAATATCCTGCGAAAACGCGAAAACAGCTTTTATCTTATGAAAATTAGATACATGTACTAAAAAAAATAATTTTATTAGCAATAAATTAAAGATAGTAAGTTTACATTAGATGGTGTTATGATAATATAGATTTAAAGACGGTTTTTATAATTATATTTTTTTCACGTCCTTAATCATTTTTAAATTCATGTTTTCATAATAAAAATGTTAAAAATCATACTTTGCTAATATGAAATAGTCTATCATCTAACCGTTTACCCGCACTAAGCGACGGATATGAATAGTTTGTGTCAGTAACTTGTTCATTTTCGGTGACCAATGATTACTTTCAATTTAATGATTATTTTGATTTGGGTAAATTATATTTTTCGTCTTTAAGCTTAACTGATTTTGCAAGTTCGGTTTAAAAAACTAACTATTTAACCCTTAAACCAAAATAAAAAGTATACAGTGGGAGACATATTTGTAATTATTTTTTATGAAAAACTAAAATTATTTTTAGTTTATATTTTAAATTGATTGATTTATTATTATCAGCGTTTTAATATCACTGTCCAAGGCGGTCCGTCGAATCAATTGAACCCTGACATGGTTAAAAGATCAACGAAATAGAAGAGAATTGAACATTGTAAACTAACATAATATATATATATATATATATATATATATATATATATATATATATATATATATATATATATATATATATATATATATAGGGTTAGGTTCATGTGAGACCGCCTAATTTTGTGAGACCGTGAGACGTATTATTTTATTTTTTTTAAATTTTTTTAGTTAATTCAAGTTCCAAAAATAATATTTAAAAAAAGAATTTTTTTGATTTTTCTATTTATTTTGCATTTTAAAATTATTTTTAGAATATATACAGTGTAATATTCTATTTAGAATATTTAACGTATTTTTCAAAAAAATAGGATTTTTTTTTTTATTTTTTTTAGTTAATTCAAGTTCCGAAAATAATATTTAAAAAAAGAATTTTTAGATTTTTCCATTTATTTTGCATTTTAAAATTATTTTTTGGAATATATCAGTGTAATATTCTATTTAGAATATTTCACGTATTTAAAAAAAAAAAAACGGGATTTTTTTTTAAATTTTTTTTAGTTAATTCAAGTTCCGAAAATAATATTTAAAAAAAGAATTTTTGGATTTTTTCATTTATTTTGCATTTTAAAATTATTTTTAGATTTGGTCTCACGGTCTCACAAAATTAGCATGGTTTCAAATGAACCTGAACCTATATATATATATATATTAAATTCTCAAGAAAAGGAATAGTGTGCTTGCCATTTTTTTTGGTGGTCCATGTATTATTGTTGGGATTTAAAGTTAAGAATAGTAAATTTGGATGTTTTTTTTGGCAATTTTGCTTCTCATTCTTTACCCATTTTGATACTTTTGGTCTGTGCAATTAATATTTTTACACTTTTTAGGAACCTTTTAATATTTAAAGTTTGGCCACAAAACTTTAACGATTTGGCAACTTTGATCCCTTTTTTAAAAAGTTGCTAATTCCTACCCTTTAATTCTATAGTCATTTTGACACTTCTGGTCCTTACAATCAAAACTTTTACATTTTTTCATAAAAGCATGAAAAAACTGTCCGGGGCAAAGCCCGAGCTTTTCATCCTTACACTTTCTACGTCTGTCATATTTATCGATTTGAAAACAACATTGAAAGTTTCTAACCCCCGCGAAGCGGGGTAACCTAGTTGAAGATTATAATTTGACAAGTGGGACATTTTGATATGAAAAATAATTTAAAATTATAATATTTTTATTTTCTTGTATACTTTTTGTAGCCATTGAATGGAAGAAAACTAACTCCATTAAGTATAACATTAAGTCTTTGTAAAGTTACGATTTCACATTCAAAAACATAAAATAAAATTGCAAATACTTCTGCAAGTATGAAATATAGAGCAACTATGTTTTGGGAATTTAAATTCAATCATAGGTACTAAAAGCCTTAGAAACCATTTTTTGAAATGCATCATCTTCATCATTGGGAAGCAGCTAGTTGGTATGTGGATTTGATTTATTACTTCATCATCTATAGCTCTCACTCATTGGCTATAACAAACCGGGACAATATAGGCAAGAAGTTGGAAGACTCGATGAGTGATGCTGCATAAAAGATTGAAATTCTAATTACTTTTCACTAATATGTAGCAACCTTATGAAGCTCAACCATGAGCATTGTCATAGCCATCACGACACCTGATGGCATATTCAACATCACATGATTGTTCAAACCATAAAAAAAATGAGATACTATATGAGTAATAAAGCAAATGAGAAGTATTAATGTAAAGCTTATGAAGATTACATCAACAAAAGCATAACCTTAGACTTATATGGATATTCTAGTTTTGAAAAGATGGTAAAAGCTCCAGACCTCACATTTTAAATATAAAAATAGCAAAGATCATTACCCAGATAATCATAAAGCTCGAAATAATTATTGTGAAATAACTTAAAATGACAACATGCCTTCCCATTTTTTGAGTGAATGCTACTGGACCATTTAAGCTCGGATAACCTTTCACAATTTTGTAAAAGTTGATTCCAAGATAGTGACAACATATACATTTTTAAATTAAAAAGAAAAATCAATTTTTTTTGTTGCAATCAAATCGTAGAGTAATAATAATAAAAGCCCACAAACAAATCTTGGGTAGACACCTTAAGCTACATGACTTCATCTATCAAAGTAATTTCAAACAAATCTATTTGAAAAAAAAATGACATTTGTTACGAACAATAGAGAAAAAGCAACGACATCACAAAAATAAAAGTAATTTGTTTATTTTCTTGATTTAAATTAATTGAAAAGAAGTAGGTCTAATTACATGAAAGCCTTTCATCCAAATCACATGTCATAGCCTAGGTTAAAAAAAGATCAAAACATGTGGTGCAAAGGAAGCCCATCCATATTGAAACTTGAAATAGTGAAATCCTTCCAAATTCAACATAAATACCTAAAAAGTTCTACACAAAAAAAGAGTTAACTACGTACATGTTAGCCCATTAAGCCTGTTAAAAAAGGAAATGAAACTTTGTGGTGTTATGTTATCTTACAAAAAGGCATAAATAGGGACAATAAAAGTTCATAGTCCATACTTAGGGAAAATGAAAAAGGGAACTAATAATTATCGGTTCAATAGACGCGGAAAGTGAACAATCCTCAAATCCATCTTCACTTACAGGTTTCTAATTAATCGGAGCTAGAGTGAAGCCCATCTAAAGGAACATTCTGAAATACTCATACAATAATTAATAGCCTACAAATAAAATTAAGTATCTTAACAGCAGACACAAAAAGAAACGAAAAAAGAGTATGCATTTTATAACACTAAACCCGTCATGTGAATCCTAACTTTAACCAAGAAAAAAAAAAAGTAAATATCAACTCAATGGCTGAAAGTATAAATAGAAAACAAAAATTGTCAATATTTGGAAAATGACTATAAGTAGTGTGGATGGAGATGAAAGGGAGATATGGAGTACTTCTTCACCAAAATCGAACCTGAGATACCATTAATCAGGACTGGGAAATCATAAAACCCTACTTCAAGAGTTATGAACTAAAGAAAAGCAAAAAGTTAACAAAATAAATTCGTTTGTATAACACGCATATGTGTTTATCAAGTCCTAATCAGGAAAAAATAAGAACATGTTTAAAACATGGTGGTTACCAAGCCCGAATCTAAATCTGGTAGAAAAGAGGTAACATGAATGTGATATATTTACCTGCTACATGGACAACTCCAACTATGAAACATGACCTCGTGGTATATTTTCCAGCTTCATCTCCTGGAAAAAGAGATTCACATAGAATAAAGGTCAATAAAGCTCAAAAACACTACAACAACAAAAACAACAGTCTGTGAAATAGATTGGTGCCTCAATTTGGCTGATTTCATCTTTTGAAGTCAAGTTTCCTCTTTATAGCCACCATTTTTCCCAAGATCCCAACCATTCTTGGTTCCCAACAAAAAAACGAAGAGGTTGAAATAAGTGACTGAGACTAGGAAAATAAATAGAGGTACCATGTTTAGGAGGTGGAAGGTTGGATATAGGGATTCTTAAGTGTGGAGAGAAACAAAAGACGATGGTGGTGGTGGGTCGTTAACTGATGATGGAGATGGTTTCCAGGGTTCATACATGGAGATGGTATGAGCAACGTTCGATCTAGTGTTATTGGAGAGAAACTGCATGGTTGTGTCAAGCTTCAAAGTGAAGGCGATAGTGATAAGTGTTGTGTTTTCCAGGGGTGTCTGTATTTTTTGAAAGGGATATGATGAAGAAGAAAAAGCAGGGGAGTAGGCGGCTGAGAAGGAGGTGTAGCCCCACCTGTGATTGGATTAAGGCGGAAGGAGCTCGACTGCCGTCAACGGTTATGGACTTGTGGTTATGCATAATTGTAGCTTAAGTAAACATTAAAGAGAGAGGTGATATGCTAGGGTTGCAGAGGATTTTGAAAACGACTGAATTCAATTTTCAGATGGGAAATAAGGGGAAGAGCCTATATATATGAGGAAGAGATGAGATCAAAACCCATCTAGATTTAAAGGTGTATGAGAAGGATTGCCCAATTCAATTTGAATGGATAAGTTATGTAGAAATAATCAATGTTATCTTATTATCTTAACAACCATCGTATCATTTAAAATTTAAATTCCTTAACTTTTACTAAAATATCGGATAGAATTAGTCATATCTATTGTTGACTTTTTCAAATTCTGATCCATTAAGATTTACCTATTTGCAATGCTTAACGTTGTTATAAATGATAAAATTCACCATTTAGGGTTGAATGCTTTTATATATATATATATATATATATATATATATATATATATATATATATATATATATATATATATATATATATATATATATATATATATATATATATATATGTGTGATTGACTCCTTTTTGTTTTCTTATTTTCTATCTATTTTTTTTTTTGTGGTTTATGCATCTATGCAGTTATTCTTTTCTATAGTATTACATGTGTTATGAGGTCTGCTCCTGTTGTCTACGTGTTTCTTTTCCTGCTTCTGTTGTTTTGCGATATCATTGTTTTTCCACCAACTACGTTCGGTGGTTTTCTTCCCGATATTCAGTTTTTTTCTTCTCGATCCTTCCCACTGCTTCTCTTACCTTTCTTGACATCGGCGCTTCAATCGTTCATTCCTATAATTTCTTTCCTAAAACTTTTCCAATTTCACTAACCCATGTCTCACGTATATGTAAGGTTTGGAAGAAAAGTCGAATGATGAAACCATTTCCCTGTATGTTAGATGTTCAAAGGAATGGTTAATCGAAGCAACGCTTCGACGGCAGGATCGGATCCATCTCACATGCGTCGTCGGTGTTTCGCTCTTTCTTCATCGTCGCCCCAATTGATTCAGATTGTTGTTCCTCAGGGTTTGCGACTTCCAGTTCTGTTAACATTAAAGTAGATCTTTCGTATTCTTCGACCGTCTCTGGTGAAGTCGACAACATGATGACCACTATCACTCATCATCTCCACATATCTACAAGTGGTGAGTTAAAATTATGCACTAAAGGCCATCGATTTTGATTTTTCTATATTCTTCAAGCCTGGTAAATCGAGCCCACATACCACACCCCGATTCTTTATTTGAATACACTTTTGCTTACAGTTTTGAAGGTCATCGGCTTCTTCTGTTGCCAATGCTATTTCTATTTTCATCAAATTCCAAAGTTTCTTTTAGTTAGACCATCGAGTCCACTATGCACCTTCTCCCTCTGTGTGACAACATCAGAAAGGAAATCCATCACAGTAAACTAGGGTTTCTGTTATTAGAATCGAGGGCAGTGGCAGTGATTTCTATAGGAATCAATGAAGGAGGTGGAACTGATATTGAACAGATTTGGTGCCATCTGTCACTGCCGTTCATAGGAGTTTCGAAAGACCGAAGATGATGAACAAAGGTAAGACTAACAAACTCTGTAGGGTAATGTTGACGTACATTTTTTTTTGCTTATTGATATGTTTTTTGATTTTGGTAGCTTAAGTTTAGGGCTTTTGAACCTCTTGATTGATTGTTTTTTTTATTGATTTTTCTAACACACTTCATGATTTTCCTGTATAATGAATGAAGAACAGTGTAATGGTTACTGGATTCAATTGACAAAGGGCACAGGTAAGATATCCAATGTCAAACATGCTTATATTTTATACTTTTCAAACATCAAAGAAACTCACATGGAATAGTAAATATAGTTTGGAATGGGATGGTGAGTTTCTTAAATGTTGAAATGCTTTCCTACCAGGTGTTTGTTAAAAATCCTTATGAACTTTTAAATTTTATATGTTCTATGATCTATTGGATTATTACTGAATGTGGAAGTGTGACTTGAGTTTTCTTCTGGATGATGACAAATAGAAAGATGAAAGCTTCCAAGAATGTATTTGATGCAATTTTTGATATTCCTTTGATACAGTTGGCATTTATGAATTAAAGGTGAGTAGAAATTACATATTGTAATTGTACTTATCTTCATTACCTTTTTGAAATGATCTATCCAACTAGAGGCTCAATTTTATCATTTTTTAGCTCTCATTTGGTGCCATAAATTCTACAAACACTACTACGAATGTAATTTATAGCCAAGTAGTAGTTTACTTTCTTTCCATCTAAACTTTTAATGTATAAATCACATGAAATAAATGACTATGAAGATAGGCCTGGTCCCAATGCATAAATGCCAACATACTATAATTATTTGTTTGTTAGATGACATGAAATATATCAACTGGCAAGGAATAACGGTGTTTTTTTTGTCTTTTCATATTTTTCTATGTATTAGTTTTAAAAAACACTATGTTTATTCAGGAATTATATGTTACTGATGTTGAGCAAAGTAGTGAAGTCTTACAATCCATGTCAGGATTAGTTTTTACCAGGTAATTAATCAGGTCCTTAATTATGTTTTCCTTTTCTACTTTTTTCCTCTTCTATTTCTACTTTATCATTTTCTCATTGCAATTTGTGACATCCCTATTTTCACGACCATAAAAGATTGATTTGTTTATACTTTATTTGAAAATCAGAGTATAGATATTTAAAGAAATATATTACGAAATATACAAATTGATTTGTTTACAAAACACATATACAAATTTATATCAGAAAAACAAAGTTTAAATCTTTCATCCAATATAGATCTGACGTAAACAAATAGTATGCACACACATATCACACAAATTATATAAAATACTTGATATCTATGTGTAAAATGAAAGTAACTATGCACTCACCTGATAAGGAGGTGATTCGGACATCACTTCGTTATCTAAAATAATCTTATTTGATGAAACCCATATGTTTGATAAAAAACCGGGATTTATGGGGGCAGAGTTTCGACTCGAAAACTCTTTTTCTCGGGTCTTCGGGGTTTGCTTCGGGTGTTAGGGTAGTATTTTAGGTTTAGGGGTATTTACTGCAACATACAAGAAAATATAGGGTGGAAGAATGGAAAGTTTGTAAACAAATTCCGGATGGATTCGTTCACTATTTATCGTGGCTGAACACTCAAGTTACGTTGGGCGTAACTCTATGGTACGCGGGGCGTACTGCTTCTTCACCCACTACGTTGGGCGTACATCTAGTATGTTGGGCATACGAAGAGATTATCTCAGACGCGTCAAGGCTACTAACACGTGTCCACCATGCAATGGAGTAGGCTACGTGGCCAAATATGGACCGTGAACACAACAATACAATGGGCGTATATACCTTGTACGCTGGGTGTACATATTTATACGCTAAGCGTACCAGTTGGTACGATGGGCGTTCTTCCAGCCTCGAAGTTTTTGTCTGAAACTTCAAAAATTCATAACTTTCGCATACGTGCTCCGTTTTTGAAGTTCTTTATATCCACACGTAGGTGAAATTATACTCTACAACTTTCGTTTAGACTCTGTCGTCTAATTTTGACTTTATTTTTAAAGTTATATTTTAACAGTTCGAGATAAGCAAAGTCCGTTAAAAATTTATAACTTCTTCATCTGACATCTGTTTTCATCTGTCTTTTTACCGTTAAACCACAACCGACTAGATCTTCGATTCTTATTTTGGTTGTGTCGGTTAAAAATCGCTCGATCTAAAATTCAAGGTTCGGGCCGCATACTTTTATACTGTTATACCACATCTTAGAAAATTCATAACTTCCTTATACGAAGTCAAATATGGGCATTCTTTTTATGTGTGCTCTCGGTTTAACGTATACTATGGCTTTCATTTAGATTGCTAAGGCTAAAAAAGCAATTTATCATAATTTCACTTTTGGCATCATACAACGTTGTGTCGGTTCTGTCGCGAAACTTCGACATGTCATAACTTCTTCGTTATAACTCGGATATCAGTATTCTTTATATCTATGGAATCCTTGTTTCAACCACTATAACTTCCTTCATAGATATCGGGTTTATCTGATATTTATTTTTGATGCTTATTTTTATCCTTAATTTATAAAAAACACATAAATTCACATAATTCATTCTTATTCCTTCAAAACGAGTTACAAAGATTGACCTAAACTATTACAACTTCAATAATGTCTAGCCTAGAAACAGCGACATTACACAATTAGATTGTGATCTTATTCCTTACTACTGTAAAACCATTATTTGGTTATGTAGTTGGCTTTGTTGAGACCGTCCACAGTCTGCCATTTGTTGTTTAGTAATTTATAAGCATTCCTTACGGGGGAAAACATTAGCCTATTATAAAAGGCAAGAAGGCAAATCCTCAGTTCATCAAGTTCGTCAGGTATAATTTCTTTGCTGATTGTTGTCTTATTAGAACACGTATTGTCAATTTTACGGCTGTAAACGGGTTTACGGTTGTAAACACGTCTATGGCAGTAAACTAGTCTATGGCGATAAACGTGTCTATGGCGGTAAACGTTTCCAGATTGACGACGAACACTTTTTGGCATCAATAATCCTGCAAAACACGATCGATTCAAGTTAGATTTAGCATTGTGGGTCTCGCAATCAATATAGCTTGATGAATCGATGATCAATTTTAGATAAAAGCACAAACATATGATGAATCAAAATCAGAAGTTGAGAGAGAAAGGGAAGAGAAAAAAAGCTGAAGCCAAGCTCCAAATGAAGATTGACAAGAAAAGCCAGCTATATTTTTAGGGGAGTTTGTTGGGTCAAAGGAAAAAAAACAAGCTACAAACCAAGGG